CCTTCCTTCCTTCCTTCCTTCCTTCCTTCCTTCCTTCCTTCCTTCCTTCCTTCCTTTTTTCCTTCTTTTTCTTTCTTTTCTTTTGTACCAGGAATCAAACTCATAACCTCGCGCTTGTCAGGCAGGTGCTGTCCTGTTGAGGTATATACCCAGCAGAGAATACACTTTCACCATGGCCATATAAGGCATTAAATACCAAAATGAAATTGTTATACATTGTAGTTTGTCTTTTTTTTTTTATTCTGGAGATTGAACCCAGGTCCTTTACATTGAAAGTGTCCCTCTTTAAAATTTTATTTTAGGGCTGGGGATATAGCTCAGTGGCATAAGCGCCTGTCTGGCAAGTGCAAGGTTGTGAGTTCGATTCCTAGTACTGCCAAAAAAAAAAAGAAATAAAATTTTATTTTTAATTTTATATTTTTTATTTTGAAACAGGGTCTCACTAAGTGAGGTTGCTTAGGCTGGGCTCGTTCGTCAGGCCCTTAGAGGACTGAGATTACAGGTGTATGCAACCACACCCAGCTGAAATTGTTACACTCTGGCATTATTTTCAAGAAACTTACTCTATATTAGACTTATTCTATTATTTCCTAGAAACCTCTCAGACATGCTTATTGACACGTGAATATTATACTAAAATTTTACCATTTTGTAGGACTTAGAGAATGTCAACAGCCAAAGTTTAAATCTGTACAAATGTATATTTATATGTGGAAGCTGCACAGATGGCTTGCAGCTATGAGACACTGATCTGCTTGGTCTTCCTGCAGGAGTTCATCTTTATTATGTTGGAGGGGAGGTCTATGCCGAATGCCTCAGTGACAGCAGCATCTTTGTGCAAAGTCGGAACTGCAACTACCATCATGGATTTCATCCCACTACTGTTTGCAAAATCCCTAGTGGGTGTAGTTTAAAAATTTTTAACAACCAAGAATTTGCTCAGTTATTGGCACAGTCTGTGAATCATGGTTTCGAAACAGTGTATGAGCTCACAAAGATGTGCACTATACGCATGAGCTTCGTGAAGGTAAGTGAGCTTAGATTCTCTTGTGAGTTTAACGCATGTGCTGTGCTTTCTCACATATACAGCTCTATATCCTCTGAGTGGTATGTCCGTTGATTTTTAAACTTCAACAAGGATGTCAGTTACTAAGAGAGCATCATTGGAACATAGCAGTGCTTGTGCAAAGTGTCCATAGCAGTAGCTTTTAGTAACCTTTTCCTGATTGAAATAGCACTATTTTAGCTCTCATGATACTGTTAGAATATATTCTGTATGTAACCTGTGGTTTCAGTCTATGGTTGTGTTAGGAGACCAATTGCATACATACACCTTTCTTTTCTTTTCTTTTCTTTTTTTTTTTTTTCCTTTCTTTTCATGCTGTGTTTTCAATAGTACTTTCCTGATGGGAACACTTGTTGCTTTTGGTTTCAACAATAAGCAAGTGATCTCTTTGTAAAAATAAAAGTTCATAACATTCAAAATTATTTTTGTTTTGTTAATCTCTTTTTTAACTTTTTCTAGTAAATCTCATGTTTTTAATATAACTCAGAAGTTAGTAGGACGTTGCCTAAAGCTACAGAGGCCTCATAAGCTCCAAGAGTAAATTGTAAGGTTTAAGGATAGAGAAAATTAGATATCCCTCATAGCAATGGATCTTTTCGCCATCTTAGTCTCTGAGATACGAAGGGTTTTAAGATGCCATTGAAATGTTAAAAAGTTTTAAGTACCTGATTAGATGTCATGAGGTGGCGACTTGCCCTAATAACTTGTCTCTGAATGCTCGGAGATAAATTATCGCCCTGTGTTACTCTGAGAAACAGAACTAATTATATACTTGGGCAAGGCAATCGCCTTTTATGTTCTGTCTTCACAAGCTCGCCTAACTTGTTGTTAAACCTGTTTTGTAATGTATTTATTACTGAAGATAATTTTGGAACCTTCGTTAATTATCCTCTAGATCAAAAGTATCTTTCCCTGAGTATAATTTTTTTCTACTTATTTGAATCATCTTAGCAAATTCTCAGTATGTTCTCTTACCACTTCTTTTCTCAAAGCGTAATTCAACAGTTCTTTGCAGCTGAGTCTGGTACCTCTTAAATGTTCTTAGAAGGTTTCTTTTTAACCCCTTGAAGAAGCTGACCCATATGCCATGTATATACGAGATGCCGTTCTTACTCATTTGTAATATTCACTGTTTAATTTTTGACTGAGCATTTTTGCTCAGTTTACACATGAGCATTCGTGTGCAGTTGGCACCGTGGCAGTTATTCCTAAGCTCCCTTGATGAGTCTTACTGAAGGACCACTCTAGAAGAATTTATGACTCTAATGCTTAGAATATCTTTCCCCTCAGATTCATTTCATATTGATTACCCAGTCAATTTTAACAATTCTACTTTTGTACAATATTAATAATTTACTTTCACACAAGTAAAAGCAACCTTAACACTAATAAAGAGTATCTATAATGCACTAGCATGGAGAGTTATGCAAGATATAATAGACATAGCTGGGAAGCTGGATTTAGGGAATTGAAGATAAATCTCATTTAAAAAACTCTTACTGTCATAGTAAGGGATTATCATATATTAGCAATAAAAAAACCCTGCACACTGTTTTTACAGCACTGTTCTTTGTTATCATACTTTACCTTCTACATACTTTACCTTTCCCCGCAGCATCTTGAAGAAATGCTATAAACATTTTACTAACATTAATAGCCAATCTTATGCTTTTTAAAAAAAAGATCATTTTGGGGCATTGATATGGAAAATATATTTCATAAACTTATTTTCACCTTAAGCCCTCCCATCCAAAAAGTCCAAATCAGGTCAGTTAAACAAGTACTTGTAGGTCATCCTCTCTATACAATGACTGTGCTGAATATTAGAGATCAGAGATAACCACTCCCGTCAAAGAACTTACTAGCTAATGGAGATAAACCTATACATTAATTTGATAGTTTATTGATATATGTACAATATGGGTGTATATACATACAGATGTAGTTCAGCATCACCACTTCCTCCAGAAATGTCTCACATTCAGATGTATTTCTTGTAGTTAGGTAGCAGAAATGAATAGAACCCAGCCTTGCCTGGTGTTCTTCATGAAATAAAACTTAATCAGAACTTCATGTTCTTTTGTCCACTCATGCATATAAGTTTTATGTCTTTGCAGCAACAAAATTACTGTTCTCCTTTAACAATACTTACATGTATCCCTGCCAGTGGGTTTTACAATATTACAAGTATCCCTGCCAGTTTTGCCTAGAGATTAAAAGATCAAGCAGTCTGTGTTGATAGGATGACCTTGTACTGCTTGAATGGGGAAGAAACAGACCTATCTGTAGGCTTTTCTTTTGCTGGTAATAAAGTGAAAATTTAATAGTAGTATAGTATAATGGGAAATAAGTATGAACGTTAAAAAATATCTTCATTAAAATAACTTTGTAATGTATTTTAAAACATTAAAACATTCATTTCCAAGGCTAATTAATCTGGGATCCACAGCTGGACTTTGGATGGCCAGCACCTAGGTATCCTTTGAGTTTGCCTGCCAAATTACCTGTTTGTGCATGTGTACATTCCTTGTGGGAAAAGTCCATAGCTTTAGTCAGTTTCTGATTATGCTAACGGTTTTTACTTAATAAATTGAACACCAAGTTAAACAAGTTTAATGACCCCTGATACATTATTTCCAGGGCTGGGGAGCAGAATACCACCGCCAGGATGTTACCAGCACCCCCTGCTGGATTGAGATACACCTGCATGGCCCACTGCAATGGTTGGATAAAGTTCTTACCCAGATGGGTTCACCTCATAATCCTATTTCATCGGTGTCTTAAATGGCCTCGGGCTTCTGCCTCTTGAAAACTATTGAGCCTTGCATGTACTTGAAGGATGGATGAGTCAGACACAATGGAGAGCTGACAAAGGAGCCTTGATAATACTTGACCTCTGTGACCAACTGTCGGATTCAGAAATTTAAAAACCTTGGTAACACACCGTTGATATCAAGAACCTGTTTAGTTTACATTGTAACATTCTATTGTAAAATCAGCTAAAATCCAGACTCTTAGCAGGATGTTGTGTGTAGTTAAAGAAGAGATGGCCACGCCAAGGACAAACTGTCTATTAGAAAAATAGTCCTAAGAGATGCTTTTGTGTTTGGCACTTTAAGGTCATCAGTTGGCAGAAGTTTAGCATTAATAGTCTTTCTGAGGTGTGTTTTTATCAGGGTTAGAGCCCATGTTCAAACTTTTCATGGGTTTTCATAATATTTTAAAACTATTTGTTTAGTATTGGTTTTTTTTTTAAGTAAAGGTTAATCTTTATGATATACATAGTAATCTTTCTAAAATTGTATGCTGACCATACTGCTGTCAGAATAACGTTAGGCGTATGCTCTTTGCTAAATATGTATGTACAGAATATTTGGAAGTTAAGAATTGATTAGACTAGTGAATTTAGGAATATTTGAGGAGGGCAGGGGGAGGGAAAGGACAACTGCAGATGTAGACTATGCTGTAAAAATTCAGTTTGTTGCCTTAAACAAGCTGATGTCTGAATTTTGCTGTGTTTCGATCTTTTAGAGATTTTATCCTATCTTTTTGTTTTGTTTTGTTTTTTGGCATTCTTCTATCCCATCTTCTCCACAAGAGATTATACAGCTGGTTAATTCATATGATAGTGACAGTAAATGAGTAATTCCTGCCCTAGTGAAATTGACTGCCTGTATATTTCAATACCAACTGTACGGAGTGCTTGAATTTAATAAGCAGTTTTTATGGAGTTTACATTACAGAAATAGGCTTTAATTTTCAGGTGAATTGTTTGCCAAACCTAGCAACTCTGTCAAATGAGGATTTAAACCCATTTCAAACTTTTTTAATTTTTTTGTATTCTGTTTGGTTTTTTTCTTCTGTTAATCTTTTATATTCACTTAATGCTCTCATACATGAATACTTTTATTCCAAAACTAGTGGGTTTTCTCTACTGGAAATTTTAAATAAACCTGTCATTATTGCTTACTTTGATTAAAAATTTGTCATTTCCTTTCTTTGTACATTAGATTTAAGGTTGGGGATCAGTAAAATTTGCCACTCGTTTTGAGCTTTTCTATCAGATGTTCTCTGCCAAATAAAACAAGCTAAATTATTAACAGAGAGGTAGGGAGCTTGAATTATGTAGAGAAAGGAGTCCCTTTAAATCAGAAGAGAAAGGACATGTAGACCTTGAAAAATTAATTTCAGAAAAAGCAAAATCTAAATGTGTAAGCCTTTGAATATGAAGAACTACAGCAGCAACATTTATTGCTAGGTACCATTCAGTCAATCAAAAGAATGAATTTCTGTTTTCTATGAGAGTGTAAGGTGACTAAGAAAGAGAAGATGGTAACTTTTGTAGTTTTCTTACAGCTGGGATGCTCCAGCACTCTCCCCAGGCAAGGGGCAGGGAGTTTGCCCAGCTGGGACATAGATTTTGAGGTTGCTTACATTCTAGCCAAGATGATGCCATTTTTCCCCTTTGCATTTTAATGTACTTTTCCTGGAATGTGTCCCAGCCTTAAAATTTAAAGATTCTTTTCCTTCCCCCACCATTGTAAGCTCAGTTTGTGAAAAAATGCCTTGGTGTTTCCCCTATAAATGCAACATTTATCCTCCAAGTTATGACCATGCAAAAATTTCTCCTAAGCTTATTGCTGTCTCCAAAGACATGCTATAAGTAGAAAAACCCTGGGCCAGAAGATCTACTTTATTACACAAATTTGTGCCTTTTTTGCTGACTCACTTAATTTCTATGAACTTCTGTTTTCTCATTTGTTAAGCAAAGGTAGTGTAATTGTGTCCTTATCACAAATTGAGGTGAAGATTGTTTATATAAAAATACTGTACCTTAGAAATATAACTACCATGCAAGTATATAGACCACGATTTCCTTGAACCTTCTCCTGTGGTCTGTATTTTCCATTTATCTGAGTCATTCCTGGCATAGATGATCTCGATCAATGAGAGTGATTGATGTGATATAATTAATTTTAAAATTAAAAATATTACTCAAAACTATTGGGCTTACCAGTGAAGTACAACTGGAAATTGACTAAAAAATAATAAGCATTGAGCTGGGGTCAGAATTTCTCACCCCTTTCCTGGTGGAAAGCTCTTGTTTGCTTTCCTTGAATTCCTGTGGTTGCCTTCCGGGCAGTTATCACAAATCATTGGTTGTAGCAGTGCTGGTAGCCAACTTGAAGCTCCATCAGACAAAACAGCAAATATCTAGTAAGATAAAACCTACAGGGTGGGGATCTCTGGAGTCTGCAGTGTGGTACAAAGTAGGCTGTTCATGCTTACAGGCAGTTATTTGTAGTTTTGTCATCAGCCATAGGAATCTATTATAGTCTTTCAGAATTTTTTAAAGGGGTGAACAAGTCAAAGCAACTACTGGTTTGATTGCTAGAGAAAAAATATTAATCCAGTTCAAACAATGAAAAGCAGTGTGCTTCAGAGTAGACATTTTCTGCCATTAAGAATCAGTAGCTGGAATGATTGGAAGTGGAGGACCCTGGTACCACTGCTTCACTCTATCATTTAATAGAATTTACCTACAGGAAGTTTAATTTCCCGTACCTGTTTCCTCACCTGTAAAATGGAGAGAATAAAGCATACTTTACAGTTATCATGAGATTAAGTCAATACATGCAAAGCACTTAGAACCCTGCAGCGAATAATAGCAAAGAAAAGCATTAGATTCAGCAGACATTTAAAGAAGACCTACTCACTGTTCAAGGATTTGATAAACACAGTGGGAAATCCTGTCTCCAAGAAGCTTACAGAGAAAAGGAAGAAACCTAGCAGCTCATGAGGGCCTGGCCCACTGCATCTCAGGCACTGAGGATGGGATTTCCACACATCTCTTTCATCTTCACAGGAACATAGATGGTACTCCATCCTCAACTCCTGTGTCAGCTGTCAGTCTAACAAATACCTGAACTAATCAACTTATAAAGAGAAAAGGTTTACTTAGCTCAGTTTTGGAGGTTCAGTCCATGATTGGTCAGACCAATTGTTCTAAGCCTCTCATAGGGGAGGGGACAGCACATCATAGCAGAAAACAGGAAACAGGAAATGGAAGGGATTGGTATCCCAATACCCTCTTTGAGGGTACACCCCAATGACCTAACTTCCTCCCACTAGGCCCCACCTCTTAAAGATTTAACCTCGCAATGGAGACCAAGCCTTCAACACAATGAGCCTTTGAGGTTTGTATGTTAAACCCTATGGCTTAGGGACTAAGATATTACCATGTCCATAGCAATATCCAGAATAAGCACATGTAATAAGTGGAAGGTAAGTATAAATCACAGGGAGGAATATGGTGATAAGACCTTGCTGTCTCAGAGGCAGCTCTAGGATGGAGAGACCCCTCCATTCCTTGCAAGCTCAGTGTTGGTATCAGCAGGTGAGAGAACAGTGGATCTCAAAGGCTGATCACTTGTTGTTAGCTCAAAGAACCACAGGCATGGAATACTGTGTTATTTCCTGGGCTGACAGAGTATCAGTAGAGTCATTTAGAACAGTAAGTATTTCTGGTAAGACTGTTTTATTTATTGTCTGCACTTTCTTATACTAGCAGAACTTAATAAAGATAATTCATTACATGCTTTGCAAATGTACCAGATTCAGATTTTACTCTGAGGTCTCATCCAATACAGAAGATGGGCTGTTAGCTACAAGGTTAACAAGAAATGGGGATTGCACAAATTATAAGCAGTTTACCGAAAGGACTCCTCTTACAAAGTCGGGTAAGTATACCAGCTACAGTTTTAATACTCTTAAGCAATTTAGAAGGCAGTGGTCCCCAAAGTGGGTACAGTAAGGAGACCTCCAACCTACAGTTTCCAGGAATCAGAACTGAGAAGTCTCTTTGGAGATTTGGAAGCTCAGTGTTGTGGCAGAAAGGAAAGGCTGTGATCCATTGTCTAAATGTGGCATGATAATTAAAAGCCAGGGGACTGTGAAATTTAAAAGCTTGGAAGCTGACAATTTGTAAATTGTTCCCCTCTTCATCCAAAAAAAAACCAAAGTAACAGAGCTCTCTTTATCCCTAGACGTAGACTAAGTTAAAATAAAAAAAAAAGAGCAAGAGAAAAATGGTATGAGAGCTCCTTGTCAGTTTAGGGTAGCCACTGTGTGAGACTCTGAGGGAGTATTTCACCTTTCCTTGTCACCTGCACTTCACCTCCATCCCAGGTGATGATTCAAGAGCAGCATGTGAGTTACATAGACTTATTTTTTAATGCAGTCTCTGCCACTTTCTAGATGCACCATCTCAGGCAACTGAGTTCATGTCTGAGCTTCAGTCTCATAACCCATAAAGTGGAAAAATAATTGTCACTCTCACGTAGGTCACTGTGAGCCTCTACTGGTATGATGCACACTTAATACTTGCCCCTCAGCCATACAGAAAGCACTTAATAGTGGTTCGGCTATAGTAGTGACAGTGACCTACCAGGCTTCATAGATTCTGCCTAGCGAATGCTCAGCAGGTGGAGGTAGTAGGGTGCTCAGTATCTTTTGTATATGGTAGATGATTTGGAGTCCTCACCAGTAAAAACTTATAAAATCTGTGCTACAGTGGTACATATGCATTATGGCAAGGGCAGGAGAAAAGAAGAAAGGGGAAACCTGAGCTTTGCTAAATAACTGTGCTTTTACAGTGCTTATAAATGTCAGTTTTCATTTACATTACATCCTACGTCACCACTAATTTATAGACAAGCTGCTTATTAGGGCATCTTTTACTCCTGCCATTTCTCATATTAAAATAATTTCTTATTTCTGGTTTGATTCTGATTATTCTTCCTTGAATAGGCACCATACTAATGCCAGGCTTGTGATTCCCACCACAGGCCCCATAGGACTGAAACTACTTTTCAGTCCATGTCCTCTGCTGAAGGCACATGGCAGTAATCCTTTCACCCCACTGTGAATCTGCAGTCTTGCATGCCTTCACCATGACTTAGGGCATTCTCTTTCTGTGTAGTTCCACGTCCCGAATTCTTGTTTATCCTTTTGTAGGCAAGGATTTATTTTGGCAGTGTAATTTTACCTCCTCTGGTCAGGACATGGAAGTCTTCTATTCTACTTCTGGATGCGTATGATCTATAACTGGGTGAACTGGCAGCCGCTTTGCCCTGGGTGCCTGCCTAAGTACACAGTGCATTCTGCCTTTGCTGCTCATCATATATTAATAACTCACTTGTATCTAGTAAAATCCATTAAGTTATGTCCCTGACAATTTTCCTACCCCACCCCTGGCACTTGCCTAAATATATTTAGAAACTTAAATTAGCACAGGTCCTTTGCAGAGGAAGGAGACATAAGCCAATTTAACACTTACAGGATATATAATTCTAATTTAGGCATACAGCATTAAATTTAATACCACTAAGACACTTCTTTGAAGCTAATCCTCACATGACAGTAAAATGCTTTAAAGTTAAAACTAATGAGTCCAGTGCCAATGAATTGTGACGTTGATCTATCTTTAATACCAGGGGTGTGTTTCTATATTTATTCCAAATTCCATCTTCTGTCCCTCTTCCTTCATCAGGGCATAGGTGAAGGAAGGGAGAGAGGAAGAAGCTTTAAGTCCAGGAGACGGTATCCCAATCCTGGCTCCTGTATTTCTTCCTCTTTGAGTGGTTCCGGGAATGTTCCCCAAATCCTGAATCGGAATTTTCTGTCTGCAAAATGGGAGACATACTCTTTAAGGATGTTGTCAAGATTAAGAACGATTAAGTGCTATTAACTATACTGTTACCTGAGTTGGTGTCTATTAAATAGTATATGCTTGGTCATGCTAGTGCAGTAGTTTATGTTTTAACCTATATATGTCTACTTAAAAATTCACTGCATCACCTTCAAGTTCAAAAACACTAAAATTTCATAGTACGAAACTTACTGTTCAATAAAGCTTAATTTTCTAAATTTAGAACATAGAATCTATTGATTCCCTTAGAAAATATGAAAGTTGTAAATAAA